AGGAGGAGGAAAGGGTGGGGCAAAAGTCCGCGCTTCACGGGGAGACGGTCCTGCCTTGGCAAATGGGTGTGTTCGCGGTGCCAGGGTGTCTCCAGTGGTGTTGACACAAGCCTAGGGAATAAAGAGAAGCAACTTGAGCCAACTTGAGCCGAGAAGCGCAAAGTTCACGGGTGTTGCGGAGCACTTCAGGTCCAGCAGTGCTGCCTGTGGCGGCCTGAGGGGCTTTAACACCTTTTGCTTTGAAGCGCAGTTACAACGCGTCACTCTCCTTTTTCTTCCTGAAGTCAAGAAGTTCCTCTGGGTTGGTTGGGTGTTGTCATGCTTTGCAGTTGCTTACAGACTTACCTTACTCTGTGGCACTCGGTATCTTCTTGGTGAAGCTCTCTGAGAGCTTAGCAGGGCTGTTATTTCCTCGGTGTGAAAGTTGGCAGATCCAGACTGCTTCCCCAGTCTCTTTGCTGGAGCAGACGTTTCTTCTTAACCAAACACTAAATATGTTAGAAGAGAGCTGTCTAGGCTGCTTGTGCGTCTGACACTAGTTGCTGTGAAAAATCTTCACAGAATAATTTTAAGCCTCTTGTACAACTGACGTTCGGGGAGGCTGAGCAGTAATGACAAAATTAGTATTACTCATAGTGGACCTGGCAACCATGGCTGTTTGAATCATGTGATGACAATGATAGTGTGAGCAGTAGCTAGGCAGAAGTTAGCTTTCAAACCAAAATCCTCACTGGTGGGCATTTATGTCTGTTTACTTGTTTAAATACACATATATATGATGAGGATCCTTAGTATGTTTTTTGTGATTTAATTCACAGACTTGGCAGTCCACTTTCAAAAACTTGATTTCTTGACTATGTAATGTATGAGACTTATAAGGAAAATGCTGTGAACGTTGAGATTTTTGAATTATTTTGCTCTGAAATTGACTCTAAACCATTTTGCTTGTGTACTTGGTATACAAGGTTGGACTCCAGAGACTGTTAGGGGCTGCTGCAGTACAACTTTTTTTTTTTCTTTCCCACTTAGAAAATGAAAGCCTGAAACAAACAGCACAAGATTTCCATTTTCTAACTGCTGGTTTTTCTAATAACATACAAAGTGTTTCCTATGCCAAATAATTTAAAGGCTATGGGAGACTTGACTTCCCTTACATGCCGAGCAGTTTTCAGACCCTATCTGGAGGATTACTGACTAGACCGTACAAAAATCGCACATCTTTATTGTCTCTCTTTATGTTTGGTAATAGTAGTTTGTGTTTTAACTCATTAGTCATGTGGAATGTATTAATTTTTGAGTGCTGTTTAGTAAATGTAAAAAAAAAAAAAAACACAACTTCCCAGGTTTTGAATATCCTTTTTTCTAATTATGTTATTTTCCTGTTGCTCTGCAAAAGCAGTTATATGATGCCTGAGCTACGAAAAGTAATCTTGTGGATTTTGTTGCAGGAGCAGTTTGTGCTAATATAGTCTTGAAGCATGTGATTATTTATTTATTTATTTATTTTTAACTGTTAAAAACCTGAACTTCTGGGACACAAAACTATCTGGAGCATGGAGTTTCCTCAGTTATTTGGCAGTATCTGCTTTTTTGAATACTGTGTTTCAAAGCCTCACGTGGAAAGCTGGTGTGCTGTTGAGTTTTTTGGATGTGATTTTCTTTGTTGGTATATACCCATTGTAAGTGGGTACTTTGGCAATTGTAGCTCTAAAATACAAATGTTTTATTTGATTAATAAGAAAATCTGTCAGGGTCCAGATAGTGGGTTTGCTATTTTGTTTGGTTGTTTTTTTCAGCACGTGTTTTTTTCTGTAAGATGTGTTATAACGGATACTACTGTGGCTACTAATTACATTATGCCATGCCACAAGATCAATGTCCTTGATGCATGACTAGTAAGTATAGAGTAAGTAACACAAAACAACAACATAAAAATATAGAAGAGCTCCTGCTGTGTTGAGCGATTGGAAATTTTCTTTAGAAACTGTTCTTAGAAATTTGGTTTTATGGACTAGGTAGCATGGAGTGCAAGGCATTTGTACATGAAGCGTATATTGTCTTTACACCAAAGGAAGGAGATGGGAAAACAAATCTCTTTTGACTTGACTTTTAAATTGTTTGAGCTATGATTTGAATACTCTGTTGCTATCAATTTCAAGTGAACTTATTTATAAACCATAGGATATAAAATAAAGAGCTTTCTGTGAGATTGATTTGAAAAGAATTTACAATACTGTATTTTATCTCTGTTATCTAGTTTACTGGCAGTATTTACTTTCTCAAGTTTCTTATACTAAGTTAGCTTTATTTTATAATGTACTTATCTATTATTGACCTAACCAAAACTAACTTACATATTGACTTTTCACAAATATTCACTTTGCTATATCGTTTTCCTTCTAGGAGTATATTAAGGGACTCTGTGAACCTGAACTAGAAGAAAAGGAATTCTACCCAAAGGACATGCACTGTGTCTTTGTTGGCGCACAGAACCTGTTCCTCCACAGTCTTATTCGGGATGCCTGTGCTGATATAACAGTGCTGGAAATTGGATTGCTTAGTATTAGGGGTGGTGCAGAAGCTGTTGTTATGGCTCAAAGTCATGTTCAGCAGTTTGTGAAGCTTTTTGAGAGTAATGAAAGCTTATTAAGTGACAATGAATCTGAGATTAAAAAGCAATTCAGACAATTTGTGGAAGCACATGCAGATAAATATACAATGGATTTACTGATTTTGCCTAGCTCACTAAAAAGAGAGCTCCTAGCTCTCACACAAACTGAATGTTGCAAAGTGGAGAGTGATATCGTAGATCTTACTGGTTCTGAAAGCCCAACGGAGCTTTTACAGAACAAAGCCTCCAGTGTAATTGCGACAAACAGAGATGGAAGAGCATGTAGTGAGGAAGCACGAAACAATGCTGGGACACCTGTAACTGAGCTTACAAAACAAATGGACACTGTGTTTTCTGATGCTCCTGAAACAAGTTTTGTTCCTATAAACCCTGTGCCTCTGTTAGAGGCAGTGGTGTCTAAAGAAAGGCAGTCATGTAAAAGAAGATCCTCTGATGAGGAGGAAAGGCTCCCTAAAAAGCAGTTCTCTTTGGAAAACAATCAGGAGGTGAAATCTGACTCACACAGCAATCCTTCAGACAGCAATGTTGTTATTGATCTGCTTTCGGATAGCTGCAGCGAACCAAGTGATCCCAGTTACTGCTTGAAAGAAGGTGATGATATCAGTGAAGAAATGGAATACAAAATTCTTGTCAACTTTTTCAAAACAATGGGGTATTCCCAAAATATTGTAGAAAAAGTTATTGGTGTCCTAGGACAATCTGTGGAACCATTAATATTGCTAGAAGAAATTGAAAAGGAAAATGTAAAAGTTCAAAAAGAACACGAACAGTCATCTCGGAAGCCTAGAACTATCAATCCTCCTTTAGGAAGTAATGCAAATAATTCACAAAAGTTAGAAGACAAAGGCATTTCTAGCAATAAAAGTCCACTTAAATCCAGTCATACTTCAAAGGAGACCAAAAATGAGTATCACAAAATAAGAGAATCACCAGTCATAGAGGCTGATGCAAAAGATAAAATGCCTATGTTGGTACGCAAACCTGCTTCACCTTCCAGTAAAAATTCAGCTGTATCCCCTAAACAGAGAGACATTTATTGCCCTGGCAAGAACCACAATTTAAGTGATGTAGAAACTGATGGTGGTACAACTTTTGGTGCAGTACAAGGTAGAGCTCTACAAGATGTTGATTTTGTAGCCAGAGGGAACTCAGATGTGCAGCATATTTCAACTAAGACTAAAACTGCAGTTCAGCAAAAATCTGTACGGCCCTCAACTGTACAGAATAGTCATACAGGTTTTGAGGACCAATTAGGACACTGCAGCTCTTCTCAAGTGAGGCCTCGGAACCAAAAGCTATCCCAAACCTCAAATTCTGAAAATCCTATCCCAGACCAGGTGCTTTCTTCTCAAAGACATCCTTCAAATCCTGATAAAGAGACAGTGGGACTGCACAGATGTCATTCTGATCCTTCAGTTACTGGAGTTCAAAGATTTTTGGAATCTCTGAAAAAGCCATACAGACTGGAGTTGAAAAATGAACCTGGGAAACCGTATTTAAAACATATCATTATTGATGGAAGCAATGTTGCAATTTCGTAAGTATTCTTTTCAGATATCTCTTTGGTAAAACTTCAGTGAACTTTCAGATGAAATAGGGACTGAGGTTGCTGTGGCACATGTAAAGTTTTTGCTAGCAAGCTTTTGGTGACCAACAGTTCATGTATACTGCAAGCCTTTTCAGCTACTGGTAAGTTATGGTAAGGCTTGATAATGAAAAATCATGTGAGATTGACAGCAGTTTTAATTTCCAGCCCACAGCAATTGTGATAGTTTTTATTCTGTGTTTAAAGACAGCAGTCATTGTTGTGACTGACCTGTTTGGAGATGTTATTTTTTGTTGAGATACTGTGCATAGAAGGAAATTCAGAAGCTTTTAACAAGTACACATTTCAGCACACAAATAAAGCTAGAGCAATGGGTAGAACAGTGGCTCTGGTAGAAATCTATGAATTTATCAAAATGGGTAGCTCAAATATATGAAGCCCAAATACTAAAATAAACTGAAAAAAACCTGAACAGAATCTGTGATGAAAACTAAAACCAGATATATGTTAGAGGTAGATGAGGTCCTTTTTGATAACAGGATGTTTCAGAATGAAAAGTGAGTTAATTCTACAGCACAGGCAGTGGTCAGGTTTGAAGCAATTTCAGAGCTACCTAATTTGAATTATCAGTATTCCAGTTTGACATAGCACTTCAGTCAGAAGTAGTATCAATGAACTTTGCTCTCTTATAAGCAATTTATGCGTTAAACTTAATTTGCTTTGCATGCACCTAACTAGTTGAGTTACCATCAACTTAAGAGTAGAGTGTTTTGATTTTTTTACTTCTGCTCTTAGTGTCTAGTAATTTTAAAGTGGAGGTTCTTTCATAGTGGTAATGTATTTGTCCTTTAATGGTCTCACACGTTAGTGCTTGGGTCCTTGTGACTTTCTGCAGATGTAGGCATGCAACAAAACTGTTCCACCTCCCTCCATAAAACTTGCAGAAAAAGGAACTGTGTGTAGGTGTGCGTACACCTCATCTCCTATTCCTCTTGATACCTGAAGGAATGTATGCAAATGATAGCAGACAATTATAGGACTGTTGGATAATTTTAATAGAATGTCTGACAAGGCATCTTGCAAACAAACCCAATGAAATGAGCACTGTTAATACTGAAAAGGTCAAGAAACCCCTTCCATTGATTGTAATGCAGGGATTTTCCATTCTTGTAAATACCTTCTAATTCCTTCCCCTCAGTGTTTTTATTGTAGACAGACAACTTTGGAGGGCATTGCTAATTACAATTGTCTTTTTTATTTTCTTTTTAAGCCTGTTTAACTGAAATAGCGAAAGTCAGTTAGGACCTATATCCTTCTAAAATTTTGTGCTTTACTTGGTTCATTTTATCTGTCTCATCAAAGCTGTTCTTGAATTGATTGCTGTTTTCTAGTCAGGAAGAGACTTGGATTTATTCTTTTTATACTAAGTAATTTTGGCCAGCATGCATGTCAGAAGGTTTTGTCAGTGTTTGCTATGGGACATTTTTGTAGTTCTGAAATACGAAAGCAAGCAATGACGAACGCATTATTTCTTCTTAAGAAGGAAGTGGTAGTTTTTAAAAGCAAACTGACTGTTCTCCTGCTCCACTCATCAATGTAACAATAAGTAAAGAGTAAACTAACTATGAGAACTTCCTATTTAAGATATTCTTTTGGGGTACAGACTTCCTCTGCTGAACATATGTAAACCCTTTCAAGTACAGAAATTAGTTTTCATTTTGAATCATGATGCCAGAACCAAAATGAAATGCTTTACCAGAAATACAGTTGTTTTGGTTAAAGATCATCTATATCAGCAGAGTGGGTAAACATTAGACTATTTAAGTGTTTCTTAAGCTAGTTCAAAATATGGATTTTAATCTTGGAGAACTGGAAATCCCAAAGAGCCTTGTATCTAGTTCTTGAATAGGATATTTTCTGAGAATAGGCCATTAGATGAAAGAGACTTCGCAAAACAATGGGCTTAAATGCTGTTTAGGAGAAGCAAATAAACTTTTCCAGGAAAAAAATTATAGTGCTATATACCATAAGAAAATAATGTCAAAGTCTGTCCTATAATGAATTTAATGTTTCAGACAGTGGGCAGTTGGTACAGTTTCCCAGAAGTAAGTATGTAAATACGGATCTGCGTGTGCACGTACATATAGTTGTGTTAATGGAGGAGAAAATGGCTATATGTTTATAGCTTCACAGACAGAGATAAAGATGTCCTTGGATACTGTTCTTGTGTAGTTATGAAATAGCTACTTTAGTTCCTAAATATTTCACCAAAGTTAATGGAAGAGTAAAACTTTCTCAATTCTTAGGCATAATAAATACTTCTAACTCTGTTTTCTCTGTAATATGAATGAATTTTGCTTGACAACAGAAGTAATAGTCTGGGTTTTTTTTGTGAAGTGCTGGTAGAACTGTTAATACTATTTTAGCGAATTAGGGAATCATTCTTAACTTCTTCCCTTTAAGTACAGTCCTAGCCTGATGATTTCTATTTTGTTACCTTGATACTTCCTGGTAACTTACATAAGTTACCAGATGATACCTTGCCATTCCTAGACATATAGTTCATTCAGAAATATTTCTGCTAGTCTTTTAAACTTAATTCATAGAAAAATGTATCTCAGTTTGCCTGATTTTTGACAGGCCTCTTATGTATTTGCTCATGTTCCTGCTAGATCTCTACTTTTCCCCATTAAGAATAAAACATGTATTTTAAGTTGATTAACTTCAAATGCAGTTTAAGGACCAAGGAGCCAGCAATATAGAAATGTTTGCAGTTGGTCCAGAAAGTCTCTATGGCAGAGATTTAGTGTCAAAAGTAAATCTAAGTAACTTATTCTGTTCATGAGAAGGAACGTTGGAAGATTTCTTAATGTGTGACTTTTCCTACTAAGTGATCATTAATTGAAGAAGGTGATGATTGTCCTTATAAACTGATTTCCCCAGGTTAAAGAGCCCACAGCTAGTCTCCTGTGACTGGCAACAGTAAAAATTTTCAGGTGAATCACTGGAGAATCAGTTGAACCATAGTTTAATGTTTTCTGTCATTTTATAGTCTTTCTAACTGTAAAGAAGCAGCCTGACATGATGTATAACTTAACACTGCTTTAATTCAAGTACGGTATTTTGTTACAGTAAATGGCTTTTAAAGCAAACATTTCCCTGTTGTTCAGAGCTTGTTATTTAGAAAATAGTGATGTAAAAGTGCAAGTCACAATAAAGTCGTAAGCTACCTTGAACTTTTAAAAGTTATTTCCCAAATGCATATTAGTGGAAGAGAAATGCAAATTGTTCAGGTCGTGTAGCAAATAACAAATACACCACATCCTCTTTGTCTTTTTTTTTGATATGGAGAAATTTTTTTCATCTGTGTATTTCATCGATGGGCTTTTGTGTCTTTTTTTTTTTTTTTTTTAAAAAAAATGG